CACAAGAAAATAAAGTATAAGGAAAATTTAGCAAAACCTAAAGGAAAGCAATAAAAAGTATATACCAAGAAATGCTGTAAAAAAAAACCCTGAAAATATAATCTTATACAATTGGGAGAGTGGATTTATCTCTTTATTAATCAGACATTCTCAAATTCAAATAAAATGTATTTAATTATGTAGATATTTCTGAAAAGACTGCATGTTATAAAAAGGAATTGTATCAGCATATTAAAAATAAAATATACTCACATACATTAATTTAGGAAAATAATTTTTACATAAAAACAAAAATGTAAATGTTATGAAAAAACAATATGTCAAATAAACTTTTCATTAAGTTACACAAAAAGATCGCTTCTTGGTCTTTTGGCTAACATCAAGTGTAAATTACACAAAAAGAGAGTTGCGTTGCTGGAAACCAAAGAACAATTCATATAAGTTTATTTTTACTGAAATATGTAACATTGCAATCTTAAACACTTACTAAATAAATGAGATTAATTAAAAGCTAAAGGAAATTCAGTTAAACGACCACCAGATTTTTAGTTAAATTTCTAAAGTTAAACAACAAAATTGCAAATGATATATCCTTATAAAATATACAAGAAAGATTGTTCAAAAAGTCTCAAGTACCAAATCCTTAACATAACACAATACATTATCCAAAATTGAAAATGAACAATTTGCATATAATTAATAATGCAGTAAAATTTTGAAACCTATGAAGTAACAAAATTAAAAGCAAAGAAATGAACATTTTCTTAATAAAAATGATAGCAACATGTGAGCTTATTTTCATAGTTTAGCAAAAAACAAAATTCTTTTAGCTATAATACTAACGTAGCAATCTGTGAAGAAAAGGTAGATGAGTATGTTAATCAAAAAGAAGGGAGGGGCTGGTGCAAGAGGAAAGCTGCTAACCCAACACTGTGGTTCAGGCGTCTCTTACAGCACTGGCTTTAGTCCAGGTTGCTCCACTTCTAAAGCAGCTCCTTGTTTATGGCCTGGGAAAGCCTTAAGACCCTGCGCCCACACGGGAGACCCAGAAGCAACACCTGTTTCCCAGCTTCAGATTGGCTCAGCTCTGGCTGCTAGGGCCACTTGGTGATGGGAGATGTCTCTCTCTGTCTCTCCTCTCTGTAAATTTACCTTTCCAAAAAAATATAAAGAAATCTGTTTTGAAAAAGATAACTACTTCCTTAATTGTGTGTCAAGTTAGACTTCTCAACCTAATTAAAAATTCAGAACAATAGAAAAGTTAGATGGAAGGACTTTAATAAGAGAAAAGCTATGCATTTTATAAAGCAACAGCCTCTGTTTTGAGCCTAGACTCAGAAACAAAATCACTTTTACACATTTAATTTTATTTTCATTACAAAGTCAGATATACAGAGAGGGGGAGAGACAGAGAGGAAGAGCTTCCGTCCAATGATTCACTCCCTAAGTGGGCGCAATAGCCGGTGCTGTGCTGATCCAGGAGCCAGGAGCCAGGAACCTCCTCCAGGTCTTCCACGTGGGTACAGAGTCCCAAAGCTTTGGGCCATCCTCAACTGCTTTCCCAAGCCACAAGCAGGGAACTGGATGGGAAGTGGAGCTGCTGGGATTAGAACTGGCGCCCATATGGGATCCTGGCATGTTCAAGGCGAGGACTTTAGCTGCTAGGCCACATCGCCGGGCCCACAAAATCACTTTTATAAAATAGCCACCTCCAGACCCATGTTGTGGAGTAGTGAGTTAAACAGCACTGCCTGTGTGAACAGCATCCCCTATGGTTCATGCCCAGTTGCCTTGCTTCTAATTCGGGTTCCCAACTAATGCACTTGAGAAAGTTTGGAACGAAGACCCAAGCCATCTGGGATCTTGGTACCTGCATGAAAGACCTGGAAGAAGCTCCTGGCTCCTGGATTCAACCTGGCACAGCCTTAGGGGTTAAAGATATTTGAGGAATGAACCAGCACATGGAGCAGATGGAAGCTCTCTCAGTAGCTCTGCTATTCAAATAAATAACCCCTTTATTTATTATGTAGCCTAGGCCCTACCTAACCAAGTATGACTTTAAAGTATATTATTATGTGAAAAAAATATTCAGTGAGATATTCTTCATAGTAGATGCTGTTTCACAAATTATGTTAGTAAATATTTGAACAGCATGTGGAGTCCCTTTAGTAGATCTTATAATGTAGCTTTGCTTCTATTTAGCTTAACTCTACATTTACATTGCTTTCTTTAATTTACACAACCTCTTTCTTATGGTACAGTAACATTAATCTTAAGATGCATGTATAAATATTATGGAAATTCAACTCAATCTTGCTGTTTAAAATGCCAGCATAACATAAAAAAATGGCAATATCATGTGATTAATAATTTCTGTAAAGTGATTTGTTAACTCTGACACACAATATCATAAAAATTTGGTTTCGTTCCCTTGAAAATATTCATAGAAGTCTCCTCAGTCTTACCGAAGTGTCACTGGCATCTTGTTATTTCTAACAGATAATGTGAAGTGAACATGGAATAGTATAAGCGGTTAAAACGATCCCTTGGGGAAAGAATGTGAAGAAAGCCATCTTCCTTGGGTCTTTGTACAAACCTCAGATGTTAACCGGCTTCACGTAAACTTTTTTCTTTCTTTTCCTTAGAAATGGTATTCACTTTTTATTTTCATTTGAGAAGCAGAGAAAGCTAGGGCGACGTTAAGAGAGCTCCCAGCCACTTGTTCACTCTTCAAATGCCTGCAACAGCTGGGAATGGCCGCACCAAGGCTGGGAATTCAGTTTAGGCAGAGAACCAACTTCATGAGCAGTGACCAGTTATCTCCCAGATGGCAAATTAGTAGAAATCAAGGATGCAAAGTAAAGCCAGGACTGCAAATAAGGCAGCCCCACATGGGATTCAGATAACACTCACCCATTTTTTAAAAAATTATTATTATTATTTTAAAAATACATTCATTTGGGGCCCGGCGCGGTGGCGCAGTGGTTAAGGTCCTCGCCTTGCACGCCCAGGATCCCATATGGGCGCCGGTTCTATCCCGGCAGCCCCGCTTCCCTTCCAGCTCCCTGCCTGTGGCCCGGGAAGGCAGTCGAGGACAGCCCAAAGCTTTGGGACCCTGCACCTGCGTGGGAGACCCGGAAGAGGCTCCTGGCTTCAGATTGGCATAGTATCAGCCGTTGCGCTCACTTGAGAAGTGAATCTTCGGACAGAAGATCTTCCTCTCTGTCCTCTCTGTATATCCGCCTTTCCAATAAAAAAAAATAATAAAAATAAATCTTTAAAAAAAAATACATTCATTTGATGGAATGAGAGAGAGAACACATTGTTACTCACCCATGCACTCTTCAGATGCTGCAGTAGCCTTGGCTAGGCCCGGCCAAAGGTGGGAGCAGACACTCATCCTCATGTGTCACACGGCTCAGTTTACTTAAACTTTGACTATCATCCCTCCCACTGTTTGCATTAGCAGGACGCTAGACCCAGGAGCCATTGCCACGAACTGCATTCAAACACTACAATATGGGAATTAGGCAACTTAAGTTCTAGGCTAACACCCATGCCCAATCCTAGATTAAAAACAAAATGTAATATTACTACTGTAACAATAATAGAAACACTGTGATCTGTACAGAAACAGACCCTTCCTGGGAAATTACTTTATAAATAGACATACTGTCATAAAAATAGCAAATAACTCTTCTATTCTCTTAAAGGTGTGAAGTGCGTTCCTCTTAAAGAATGAAGTACATTCATGGAAGTTAATAGTTTAAACCAAACTTCTGCCTTTAATACAGTTTTCTTTGTGTTGTCCAGCTCTATTCAGAGTGACTTGACTTTCCTTTTTTAAAAAAGTTGTATTCATTTTATTTGAAAACATGACTTACAAAAAGAGGCAGGAAAGATTGAGATATCACCCTTTTTCAGGTTTACTCTGCAGACAGCGACTTTGCCCCAATGCCAATCACTCATTACTACTTTAATTTTCAATTATTTAAACTATTCAAGTAGAATTCACCCCCTTTTTCCAAATTATCATTTTATATGTTAAAGTTATAAAATAAAGACACTAGGATACAACCTATGTAGTAAATGTCAATGTATTTACATTATAGGCCTTCTATATATGTAACATATTGTCATGAAAGAGCATCTTTCTCAAAGTGAAAATAACCATAAATATCTTTGAAAACAGATTGGGAAAAGTTTTGAGAACTTGTGTTTGGTCAAATATTTTCTTTTTCAAATGGAGAAAAATAAGGGCATAAAAATTGGTCACATGTGAGTGACACGTAGTAATAGTTTATATTAAATAACCACCAAATGAGTAATAGAAAATCATAGTCTTTTTAGGATAATACTGAAAAGGATCAGCAGAAAATATAATTATGTTCCAGTGAACACTTACATTGACTAAAGAAATATAAATCTAGGCCACCTGCCAGGTCATTTTTCATTTATTCTATTGGTTGAAGTAACTTGAGTGGAGGTGGATGCACAGCGGTAACTACTCTCGTCTTCAGATTTACCAATTGGAAAACAGGCAGCTGGGAGCAAGTATGCCGTCAAATCTGGTTGACATTCAAGCTCAATCTTCTGAAGTGTCAGATATCATAAAAAAAACATATTTCAGCAATTGTAGTCATTTAAAAATGAATCACGGAATCTTAAAAGTTTTAGTTTTCCTGTGTCTGGCATGATGGCTCAACAGGCTAATTCTCCACCTTCAAGCAGTGTCCCATTTGGACACTGTTTTTGTCCAGGCTGCTCCATTTCTGATCCAGCCCCATGCCTGAAGTCTGGGAAAGTAATGGCCCAAGTCCTTGGGATCCTGCACCCATCTGCAAACCTGGAAGACATTCCTGGCTCCTGGCTTCATATCAGTTCAGCTCTGGCCTTTGCAGCCATTTGGGGAGTAAAACAGTAGATGGATGATCTTTTTTTCAGCCTCTTCTCTATGTAAATTTGAGTTTCTAACAAAAGTAAATGCATCTGTTAAAAAGTTTTAGCTTTACTGAAAAAGGAAGAAAAATCATGGGCATGAGCAGCTTCAGTGTTTGAGACAACTATGAAACAGGTGGGTAAGAGTTTCTAGCTCTGTAGAATGGATTCAATTGTATCCCCTGCCTTTTACATTTGTTGCAAAACGAGCATCAGACAATGATCTAAAGAACTCCTCTTCATCCCTGGAACTTTTTTACACATTTATAAATGTCAATAATTTACTACTTCGTAAATCCGTTTGCTTAGAAACAAAGCCAACTGTTTCTGTTCCCGCATCCTTGATCTTTTTGTTGATGATATTGATCAGAATAAAATTGAGTGAAATTACACTAAATTTTGCTGTAGTTCAATTCAGATAATGAAAGAATTAAGCTTGGAACTAGCTAAGGTAGCCTGTTATCAGTACCATGTATAAAGGGAATAGCCTGCCTTCTTCATCGATTCGCGCATTTGGTGTTATCTCTACCCCACTGTGTACTCTCCACTCATGGCAATATATAGAACAAAATTAGAGCTGATAATTCATTAGAAGCATATCTTTCATTTTACTTTTAAAATATTTCATTATTCTTTACTTGAAAGCATGTATACACACACACACACACACACACACACACACACACACACACACACATACACACACAAGAGATAGAGATCTTCCAACCACTAGTTCATTCCCCAATTGGCCACAATGATTGAAGCCAGGATAGAAGTCAGGATTCTTGAGTGTCCTCTGGGTTTACCAACGGGGTGCAAATGCACAAGACCTAGGCCATCTTTTGCTTCTTTCCCAAACACATTAGCAAGGAGCTAGATTGGAAGTGGAGCAGCTGAGATGAACCAGTGTCGATGGGATGCCGGCACTGCTGACTGAGTTCTAGCATGCCAAGGTGCCAACCCCTAGAAGTTCATCTTAATGGGCAAAACTGCCATGTAATCTAAACAGTATTGAGCACTCATTACCTGCAAAACACTCTGTGAGTCACTATACGGCAGCAATCAACACAATCAATGTGTGAATACACAGTTACAGGGGCAGTCATGTATTACAAATGTAAACACATGGAGACCAAGTTAACCATAGCCATGGAGATTCTGGATGAGAATAACTTGAAACATAATCAAGAATGTTTATGTAATAAATACTGTAGAATAGCAGCATTATTTGTAGTAGCATATGTGGCTGCACACTAAGTGTATCAATAAGGAAAAGGATATATAAATTATGTTACAAGCATAAAACTCAATATAAGAGTTGTGAAAAATTAAAATACATAATATGTGCTTAGAGGAAAATTTGTTTTACATATTGCTAAGTAGCTTGATATTGTGTAAAAAGTTGATGCAAATAGACCAAGAATTTTCATTTACATTAGCCAGAAAATTTTTAAGAGTAAATTATGCATAATACAGAAAGACACACGAATGATAGCTTGACTGAGAGTAGTAGGAATCAGATCAACATCAATGTTTCACTGTAAACCCTTTTCGTGTTTTCTGCGTTTGGAAGAGAGTACCTATCTTATAGTTTCAAAATTGTTTTTCAGAACAAAACAAAATTTTGGGAAATAACTACATTGCTTGCAGCTAGTTACTACTGCAAAATAGGCCGTAAGAAATAAATTAGACAGCAGGGTCAGTTTTTCGCTATTGCAATGGCCTAGATAATAGAAAATAGAGTTGATCCTGGATCTATCTCAATGAAAAGCAGAAAGCTTTTGCGGAAACGAGATGTAGCATTTAAAACAAAGGAAAGAGCAAGGAAAACGTAACAATTGATAATACAGAAGACGGGGAGAAACAAATTTGTGAGAAAACACAAAATGTTTCTGGATATGTGTTGCTAAAAACAAAAGGAGATAATTGTGGTATGAATGTATGTGACAGATTATGTAAATTGGATATTAGATATTGATAATAACTGAAGATTATTTTTACTCATCAAAAATTAGATTAAAATCATAATTCATATTAGTATATACTTATCTTCTCATGTATTTATTTATTGTACATGTCTACTTGCCATACATTGCTAGAAAACTTTCAAATTCATCCTCACTTTGAATGTATCTCAAAATGATTTTTTATTGGCTTGGATTTCTGAAACAGTATTTTTATGTAATTTAAATTTGAATGTCTTTGATAGGGTTAATTTAAGACTTGCGTTCATTTCTAACATTGACAATATTTATATATTGATTATCTTTAATGTTATTTCCCTTTCCTTGTGTTAGTGACCCAATTACATTCTGCCTTTCCACAGACTATTTTTTTAAATAAGCATGATTTAAAATGCAGTAAAACATTTGAATAACTTAGTATTAAGATTTCTTTTAATGTAAAGAGATATCCAGATGAAATTTCTTAAATGTAATTATGCAAATAGGCAAAACAATATGCTATCACAAACTACTAGTTTTAAAATTCTATGTGGCCTAAAAATATGTTAGACATTCACCACTAAATCTATTGAAAGGGTGCTTTCATAAAGCTTAAGATATCAGTTCCTTTGAAAGTTTCTAAAACTACTGATTAGTGGCTTAAGGAAATGTTGAATACCTTTGTCATCATGCTAGATAATAAGTAAATAATAGAGCAAGGCATGAAAATTGCTCATTGTACAGTGAATGGTATGGATCTAATCTTATTTACATAAGAGTTGGGAATTTTACACTCATGCACACACGCATACACATTTGAGTTCTAAGGTTGTTTTATTTCATCATAATTCTTATATTATTGTTTCTTTCAAAATAAGGAAATGCCTTCTATACTTACGTATATCAAAAGAAAAGGACTACATGATTCAAGCAAGGTAGACTCCATATATTATTATGTAACACACATGCTCTGGAGTATCTCCACTTCCCTACATTGTCTACCTAGCCCCATAAATATTTCAACTTATCTATAAGCATTTCTAGACAAAGGAAAGAAACAGCTAAAGAATGTCATGAGGTGGGTGTGCACAGATATGGGCAAGAGATGTCCAGAAGATAAAAGAAAATACATACATTTGGGTTTATATACTCAGTAATATCAAATTGTACCTAAAACCATCTACATGACCAAGCTCTGACTACAAAATCAAACTACAGGGACCAGTGTGGTGAGCTTAACAGAGGGTCATGGGCTAGTGTCTCAGTTACCCCACTTCTGACCTAGCGCTCTGCTTATGGGATGGGATAGCAGTAGAGAATGGCTCAAGTTCTTTGATCTCAGTACTCACACAGGTCCTGGAAGAGTTTCCTGGCTCCTGGCTCCTGGCTGCTGGCTTCGGCTCAGTTCAGCTCTGGCTATTTTGAGGATTGAACCAATAGATGGAAGATCCTCTCCATCTCTCCTTCCTTCTTTAATTCTTCGTTTTAAATAATAACTAAATCTCTTTTTTAAATAAAATAAGCTGTGATCAAATATGCCACAGACCCTCCAAGAAAAAAAGTTTCAGAAAGATACTTTGGAATTTCTTCTTACAGGGAATGTGGATGCTTTAGAACACCCAACATTAAGCACTATGAACACCCAACAGCTCATACTAGTTCTGCAGAGAAACAGAACCAACAAGACAGATGTTTACATAGAAAGAAATTTACTTTAAGATAGTGAGCCACATTATTTTGAGATTGCTAAATCCAAATTGTGCTGGGTGGGCCTTATGTGAGAGATTCAAAAAGGGTCAAAGTCATGATTCAAGACCAAAAACCAACTGCCAACAGCAGTTCTTTTTGCCTAGACAAAGCCAGGCTTGTTCTGCTCAAATCTTTAACAGGATGAGCCCACCCACACAACAGAGGATGATCTATTTTCCTCCAAGTCACTGGTTTGAATGCTCATCTTATCCAAACCGCTTTCTCAAAAACATCCAGGATAATATTTGACCACATATCTGGGCAGCATGTGACCCACCTCTGTGGACACAAGCTCATACAGCTCATCTCAGCAAATTCTGAAAGAGCCAACATAAAAATTCCCACATTTTCCTTTCTGTGAAGTCTCTCTCTCTCTTCTGCCTTTTGTTAAAAAGATATTAAGAATAAAAATTTTCAGTATAAAAATTGTCAACCATCCAAAAATAGCTCATTTGGAATCTCCCCTGAAAACCTTGAGGAAATTTAGGCATTTGTTCATTTTATTTAACTGATTCTTACCAGCAAAGTTAAATGTGTAGCAGGCCGTAAAGATTCAAAATGTTATCAATTATGAATATTTTATTTACATTAATATTTACCTGCGTGAGAATGTCGGAGTGCTAGTTCTGAATTATATCTCCATACTTAACATTATCAGTAGTTACAACATGTTTTCCTGGCTTAGTCCATGCCACAATTTCATACCATATTTACCAGCTGGTGGGAAGAAAGCATTTATAGAAATTAAATCAATGTTAAAGCATACTTTGATGATATTAGCACTTATGTCAATGGCTGGTATGTCTTAAACCTCATCACACTTACCAACATCTCTATTCCATGTATTGATCCTGAGTTTCACCACTTGAATAAAATTGTTACCTTTATACTTAAAGATTTGGATATGACAGCTTCAAATTTTTCAAAGACTAGAGTTCTGGGGAAAGCGTATTTGATTATTTGAAGGAAGGATAAAGTGCGTCTATATTATTTAGAACAGCACTATTACTGAAATTGGTATTATCCTTCTTTTCATTTTTACAGGAAACAGATTTCTGAAAGATTATAATGGACAGTTCAGTAAGATTTGTGAATAAAAACAACATGGACTTTAAAAGAATATTCATCAAAGAAAGGATATTAAGTGAATAAATTTTTATAGCAGGCTGGTGCAAAAGGGATCTCCAAAAACACTTTAAAATAATTAATTTATTTGTCCAATTAGAACGCAATGTAAAATTATTAGTAGTAGTTTCCATAATACAAAAAAAAAATGGAAGTTCTGTTACCAATAAGTTCACCTAGGAAAATTTTAAGAAGATAAAATATTCGCACTGGGCACAATAGCTCCACAGCTAAATCCTCACCTTGCATAGACCTGGATTTTAAATACGGACATGTTTGTGTACCACCTGCTGCACTTCCCATCCAGCTTCCTGCTTGCAGCCTGGGAAAGCAGGAGAGGACGGCCCAAAGCCTTGGGACCCTGCACCCACGTGGGAGACCAGGAAGATCTTGTTGGCTCCTGCCTTCAGATCCAGCCACTGTGGCTACTTGGGGAGTAAACCAATAGACAGATATTTCCTCTCTGTATCTCCTTCTCTCTGTAAATCTACCTTTCAAATATAAATAAACAAATCCTTAAAAAAAACAAGAATTTTTTAAAAAGTAATGGTAATGTTTATCTCATAAGTCTTTTGAATCTTGCTGATGTATATAATTTTCATAGTATGATATTTTAATAAGAGTTGTCCTTTCTAATAAAATGCTAACTTTTCTTCTTCTAAGATTTATTTGAAAATCAGAACTACAGAGAAAAACAAGAAAGATCTTTCATGCACTTGTTTAACTCACTAAATGGCCTAGACAGCAAAATGGGCCAGATCAGAGCCAGGAGCCCAGAGCTTTATCCAGGTCTCCCACGTGGATTCAGGAATTCAGTTATAATTTGCAAACAACTATTTTTAAGGCAGTGATTTGATTGACATATTTGCATAGCTTTCACACTGAATCTCAAAATGAGAATATGGAATTTACTTCATATGCAATGACAATTCTCTCAAAAACTATTTTGTTGCTTAAATTAAATAAGAATTGCCAGAAAGCTTACATTACAAAGATTTTATGAGCTTTAAAAAAATTCTATTTTTATTTTTATTTTTATTAGGAAGGCAGATTTATATAGAGAAATAGAAATAAGCAGAACAATCTTCTATCCTTCAGTTCATCTCCCAAATGGCTACAGTGGCCAGAGCTCAGCTAATCTGAAGTCAAGAGCCAGAAATGTATTCCTGGTCTCCCATGTGGGCACAAGGTTCCAAGGTTTGGGGCCATCCTCCATTGTTTTCCTAAGCAAAAACAGGCAGCTGAGTGGAAAGTGAAGGGGCCAGAATTTGAACTTGTGCCCATGTGGGATTTCATTACTTGAAAAGGGAGGAATAGCAATTGAGACATCGCACTAGGCCCCTGTAGGTCTTTCAGAAAATAACACGCTTGCTACCAAAATCTTCATTGCTCACAATGACCAAGCTCTGCCTAAAGATTGCTTCCTGTGAATGAACCATTTTTATCCTATGAACCCAACGATTATTTGACGCTTAACCAGGTGGTTTACTTTGACATATGCATAGACTTAATTAAAATGTCAAGATTATATTACCAGTTTAATTAATTTCTCATATACAGATAGGGAGAAACAAAATGTATATGAATGAGTAAATAAGGCTCAATGATATGTATGTTAAAGAAAATGTAGCTGAAAAGAGAAACCATACGCCTGAGTGATGCATAACTGGATGTAATTTTTTTTTTTACATTACATTGGGCGATCCTAATGCTGAACCTTTCAAAGCTCCACTGCATGAGCTGTTTATCAAACTTCCAGTAATAACTGCTTCTCTAATTGTTAACTCTCCTCAAGATCGTTGGGACTTCTGTTCATACCAAATCTGAAAGCCAATGCATATGAATTCATTTTTGTTGTTGTTGCAAAAACAACTTCCCAGAATTTTTAAAAACAAATTCTATTGTGATACTTGCCCGCTTGAGACTATGATTTGTGATTATTTTGACTGCTGTTTTGATTAGATTGGGAAGAAATTTTCCTACATGAGAACTGCACCGTGTATGACTTCATGGGATGAAGACCTTGGATGGGAAAATTACTCAGAAAAAAAAAATCTTTTGGAAATCTTTCACTTGAAGCCCAGTATGCCATTTCCTGGCAAATCCATCACACTCCAGCCTTGGAAGAGATTTTTCTTTCTGTGAGTATCACATGAAATGTTGACTTACATTCACAGATCATGCTGCATGAAAAATCAGTGCATTTCAAAATCAGAATAGTAATCAGATGCAGTGGGCCAAGATGCTCATTTTATAAGAGACAGAAGGGAAATGTAACTGACTGAATTAGCAAAATTCTCTTACCCAACTGGTAATCGCCTCAAGGCATATTCACAGAGAATGAAGAAATGGTGTAAAAACACCCTCCAGGATTATCACACAAAACAAAATTTAACTAAAGTTCTGAGGGGAGATTTTTGCTTTGGGTTATTTTTGTTTCTCCATTTGGCTCCATTTCCATGTATTTGGCAAAGATTCTTCAGAATTTAGGAACAAAAAATATACATATACTTTGCTTTTTTAACAGCCATATTTTTTCTGGTACTTTATTCTGTTTATTTTTCCGTCTCAGAAGACATAAACATACTTTGTTTTCTCACATTTAATATAAAGTTAAATTTCTAATTCAAATTTATTGTGTTCATTTTGGGAGTGTTAATATTTAACAGAAAACTGATGTTAATAAGTGAAATACTTTTCAGCATAACAACCTATTACTGTCTTTAGGATAAGAATTCTGCTTTTCGACATTCTATTTTAAAAGATCATTTTTAGAGTGTCCACATTTAAATAAAATATTGACATTTTAAATGTTTTTGATATATTGCAAATGTCCCAAGATAGTGAACAAAGTGTCAACTTTACTATTTCATTTGAAAAGTATTAGCAATTTTTATAGTTTTTATTGAATGTTCACTAAAAAGCACGATGATTTAACTACATGCATTAAATAAGAATATGAGAAGCTCAGAGTTCAAACATGTGCATCTGTTCTCAAGTCTATAATCATGCCAAAGCTATTGCTGGTTTTATTTAAATTCCTATGGTACAAACTTTCCTTCAGTCACATGTATTCACCCTAACTTAGTTTCCCAATTAATTTCTATATTTACTCTAGTTTATGAGAAGGAAAGGATTTGAATATAGAAAAGAGTTTTCAAGATAGCGCTTCAGATACACATTTTATTCATTTAGTATTTTTTATTCTTTTTGAATATCTTTTCTTTGCTTCGTTCACCTGTTTATGTGTAAATGAAAACTTGGTTTGTTGCAAAATCTATGCTTATTTGCTGGAAATATCACATTGATCAAGATGACCATAGCACGCCCCTTTAAGAAACTCAAAATACATTTAAAAATTCATGATAAAATGACAAAATTATTATATATATACAAGTGCTATGAGAGACAAATACAATTTAAAGACATCACACATTGGGAAAAGCCCAGGTGAGTTCAACCTTAGGGTTTGGGAGGAAGGACCTTCTGGCAGTATGGCAGTTGCTGGGGGGAACTGAGCCAGGGCAGACTCAATGCTTGGGGCCCTAGCACCAGTCACCACCGTTAACGGGTGAATGCTGGGCTTGCCTGGACCCAGGTTTTTACCCTTTAAAGTGTAATTACTGGGCCCGGCGTGATGGCGCAGTGGTTAAGGTCCTTGCCTTGAACATGCCGGGATCCCATATGGGCGCCTGTTCTAATCCCAGCAGCCCCGCTTTCCATCCTGCTCCCTGCCTGTGGCCCAGGAAGGCAGTCCAGGATGGCTCAAAGCTTTGGGACCCTGCACCCATGTGGGAGACCCGGAAGAGGCACCTGGCTTCGGATCAGCATAGCATCGACTGTTGCGGCCGCCTGGGGAGTGAATCATTGGCTGGAAGATCCTCCTCTCTGTCTCTCCTCTCTGTATATCTGCCTTTCCAATAAAAATAAAATAAATCTTTAAAAAAAAAGTGTAATTACTGTGAAGAGATTTCAGCGGCTTGGGTCCCTGGATCTGCCCAAAGCCGCCATCTTGATGAGACAGGCCCTGGTGTGTTCGACCTCAGGGCTTGGGTGGATGGAGCTCCACTGGTCTTGCTGGGACAGGAGGTGGACTACGTAGGCTTAGCCTATGGATCCACTGATGTGCATGAGATCTGGCAATGGAGAGGTTCAGATAGAGGAGTTTAGCAACTCCTCTGCTGGGACACAGTCTCTGCAGGTGAGCTCAAGAACCAAGAATGGGAGCAGCCCAGACCAGGCTAAGCAATGGTACCCATCAGCATATTTTAGACACAGGTTGGGGGCGAATAAGGCTGGGCCAGTTCCTATCACCTGCTCATGAGTCCAGCACCAGAGTGGAAGTGTGGTTCAGGCCAGGTTGGCCTCAACACAAGCCAGTTCACATGAGGGCTGGGCCTGGGGTAAGCTGGGCTGGGCCAGGCTGCAGATACCACTAGAGCAAGCTGGAATTGAGTGTAGGCCAGGCCAGGCCACACTACAGCACATATTGGCAAATACTGAGGCAGGCCATGCCAGACTGGGCTGCAGCACCCAACCAGAACATGTGAGACTTACAGGAGAAGGGGACAGAGCTGGTATAGGGGACGTTGTGGCTTCCCATGCTGGGCCACCATTCCCACTGGAGAATGTGAGTTGGGATTGGGGCATACCAGGGCTGATAGGCCTGTTGGTTTCATGTGAGCTGGATCATGGGAAAGCTGGGTTTGTTTGAATGTTCCTACTGGTGCATGCACATGCCAAAGTGGGTGTATGTTGGTATGGCTTTGCCTCAGCATCATCTGGCAGATGCTTACACAGGGAGCAAATTCTATAGAGTTAAACTGCAGAACCCTCTGAAGAGTGCAGGATCTGGGAATGGGAATGGGCCCAGTCAGGATACAGTGGGCACCTCCCTCTTGGTGAGCATAAGAACCAGGACTGGGGCAGGCATGGCTAGACAGAGAGTGGTACCTACCAGCACCAGTGTGAACTGGATAGTGGGGCTGGTTGGTTTGAACTAGGCTTCTACGCCTAATACATATGAGAGCTGAATGGGATATGAGACAGCATCGACCAGTCTGCTGTACATACTGGCAAGTGGGGGAACTTGTGCACAAGGCAGGCATGGTGGGGTTGTGGTGGATCACTCTGACTAGGCTGCAGATCCCACTGGTTTGTGTTAGGGCAGAGTGTGTGGTGGTCAGAATCGAGCTGGACTCCAACATCCATTGGTTTGTGAAGACAGGGCTAGAGATAAAACTGACATAGCAATCGCAACCACCAGCATGTGCATGAGCTTATTAGGGCAACAGACTATACTGGTCCTGTATTGGCGGTGCACACAAGAATCGAGTCTGGGGCAAACTCAGATGAGGTTTCTTTGGGGATCTCCCTGACTAAATTACTGGATTCAGAACCCCTATCATTGGGAGAATTGCAGGTTCCATGGTCTGACTGTGGAATTCATGTGTTAGAACTTGGCCTCCTCAGTGGCTTAGACAGAGCAGTGGACAACATATCTAGGTGCTCCTGGAGGATATAGCATTACATTGAAGTCTGTAGAGAACACCTGGTACTACAACAGAGAACAGAAGAGACAACAAATTGATCAATTACCCCATCCAAGAATTGGCAGTCTGGGCAAATGGAGATTCTAAAGCAGACTATGTCAACCAGTGGATTCTGGAGAGATTTCATCATGATTGCAGTGGCATAATTCAGAACTGTTGAACTCTCAAAACCTCTTGAGCAGGACCCTCAAAACATGCCCCACAATGGGGCATGGCAGGTGCACCCAAGAATAGGATGTGTGATAAATTGGGCTACAATATCCACTAGCCCATACAAAGGCCAGAGGAGCAGATTATGGTGGGTAAGGGTCTCTAGCACATGTCAATTGTGGCTCTGGGGTGGGACTGGCAGGGAAAATTGTGAAACTCCCCTGATGGGCCATAGCTGCCGTTGATGAACATATGATTCAGGCCTGTGTATTGGTCAGCCTGTGCAAGGTAGCATCTCTTATTGACAAGAATGTGGGTTGGTTCTGGAGGGGACAGGCCTGGCAGGGTCAGACCAATGTAAACTGTCTGGCCTGTGCAGGAGCCAGGCTGGAGTGCAGGTCATGCCAGGCTAGGCTATCACATTTACATTTTGCAAGAGCAGGGAATGGGAACAGTCTGGTCAGGGCTAGGCTGCAGCATCCATCAACAATAGTTGGGACTGGGGGTGTACTGGAACAGTTCAAGCTGTAGCATCTGATGGCAAAGGTCAAGATGGGGGGTGGATTATGCAAGCTATGTCAGATAAACCACTGGCACATGAGACCTGGGGCTGGGAGCAAGCCTGGTTGATGAATTGAGAGGATGCATTGCCTAGGTTGTGATTCCCACTTGGTGAGCACAAGAGCTGGAACGGGGGTGGCATTCTTGGTTCAACATAACTGCAGTCTCTCTTGGCATGGGTGTGGACTGAGTCTGCGGTGCACCAGACTGGGCTAAATTTCACCACCCATCAGTGCTCAAAGGAGTACAGGCTGGGTTACATCTTGGCACCTGCTGAACCACATGAGAGGTATGTCTGGGTGTGGACCAGATGTGGCTGGGCTATAACACACAACATTAAGAAACAGAATGGGTGTGAGCCAATTGGGCAAGATCATTGTTTCTGTAAGGTCAGGGGGTAGATTAAGTCAGACAGGGCCAAGGATCTACTAGTGTGAATGAGAACTGACATTGGAATGAAGCCTCATAGAAGAACCTGTGGAACTCCTTTGTCAGAATGAAGTCCCTTCAGGTGACAAGAGCCAAGGCTGGGAGCAGCCCAGACCTAGCCAGGTTAGAGTACCTGCCAGTATACTTGGTGGTCAGATCTGGGGGCACGCTAGCCTGGGCCGGTTCATAACACATACACGCATATCTGAGAACCAGGACAGTGTAGATGATAGGCCAAAGTGGGCAGGAACACCAGCCAGTTCACATTAGGGCTGGACTAGGGGATGGCTGAGCTGGGTGGTGGCACCCACCAGCATGATCTGGAACTAGGGGCAGGCTGGAGTGCAA